ATAGTTGTTTGTATTTTCCCAATAAAAGGTTGAAATAAAAATGTATATGTATATACATATGAAATGGAGGAGGGAGGTCATTATTTCATCTGAAAGCACAATGTAATCATTTTAATCTTACTTTTAACCCATCTTTAAGGTAATTCTGCAAAATTCTATCTTGAGTTTGATAGCTGAGTTGAAAGGCAGCTGGTCTACTTTATCACTCCAACAGTTACATTAAAATACGGTTAATTATTAGCTCTTAGGATTACAAAAGCATGGCCAACGTAGATATTTCCCCCCTAGAGTAATGTGCAAGAATTTATTCTGTGGCATGAATGGCTTAGTTGAGAGTTCTTAAAAATTTCTTCCCTTGTGAGGTGCTAATTGCGAGAGTTCCGTTCTGCACTAAAGGACCTGCCAGCAGAGCAGAGACATGGCAAAAGCTCCTGGTTTGCATTCATTTCTAAACTTGTTTTTCCATTTAATTGCACTCTAATTTCACTTTCGGCGCTGTTGTAGAAAGGCATTTTGTTTTTTTACAAACAAAAATATTTAGACTCTAAAGATGCTTTTAAAAAAACAATAAAAGCAAAGGTTTCTTTTAGCTTTAAAACCGTTCTATGGATTGTAATTTTATTGATTTCTTTTCAGATTATCGCTATGATCCTTATTGGCATATACTTTTCCCCTTATCATAATTGTTTCTTTTGTGCGTGAGATGCTGTGTTTAAGTATTTCTACGATACTTGCATGGAATACTAGAATAAGGTAGTAGGGTAATATGACGTCTTTCCAGTTAGGATAAGCAGAACTGTCCACTAATCAGTGCTACTGGCAATACCAAGACTAAAGCCACTAAGAAGCTTAAAATTATTTTTCTTTGATATTTCTTATTACAAGCTAAATAAAGGATATATAAAGGACTCAAAATTGCATGGTAGACTTTCTTTTTTATGTAAAAAAGAAATCAAGCCTGTATAATTTTCCAGTAGATTAGTCTGGTACCTTAGCAATGGAGCAAGTGATTTCCTTCTACAACTAAGTGCAGTGTATGTAGTGAAGAGAAGTGACATTTATTTTTCACCTACTGGGTTGTCAACAGCCTATATAAACGTTATCTAATTTAATCCTCTATGGTAGGCATTATAGATCTTATGAAAACTCAGGATGGCTAACACTGTCAATACAACCCATAAAAAAGTACCGGTCACCCATTAGGTGACACTAATAGGAAAATACCTCAAAGCCTACACACTCCTGCTGAGTCAGTAACCTTTGTAGTCATCAGTCAATATTCAGAAATTAAAACATGGATAGGTTTCCAGTTTTGTTAAAGTTCTTTAAAAGCCATAAAGATCTTAGGTTCTTGTTCCAGTTTCTTCCTTCCAACCTACTTCTGTTGCTTTTTGTCTTTCATAGCCCACTTTTTAAATTTATATACCTAAAGGCTATCTTCTGTTAGATTTGTGTCTGATCAACATTCCTTGAGAAATATTGTGACTGGTTTAATCAAGGTCTTGTTAAAAAATTAAAAAAATAAAAGGAGTTTAGAAGGAAACTAATTAAAATGTACTATTAAATATATTACTGTAGGGCAGCCCTGGTGGCTCAGTGATTTAGTGCCGTTTTCAGCCCAGGGCGTGATGCTGGAGACCCGGGATCCAGTCCCACGTCAGGCTCCCTGCATGGAGCCTGCTCCTCCCTCTGCCTGTGTCTCTGCCTCTCTCTCTGTGTGTCTTCCACGAATAAATAAAATCTTAAAATACACACACACACACACACACACACACACACACACACACACACACACACTATAGGACCCAGAAGGCTGCTGCTTTTAAATAATCAGATTCAATGCTATTAAAAAAAATCCACTCTTTCAATAATTTATCCTGTATACATACTTGTGTGTGTGTGTGTGTGTGAAATAGCCTACTTACAAAAATAGCACAGCATCTTTATAGTAGTAGAAGATTGGAAAGAACAAAAAAGTTGGTCAACCGGTGACTGACTACATAAAACTGATATATCCATATCCATTTAATGGAATACTCCACAGCTGTTCGAATGAATGAGGCAGCTCTATAGGTATCAATATAGTTCTAACATACTGAGGGAGAAAAACCAAAGTGCAGAACAGTGTACTTAGTGTAATTTATGTACAAAAAGAGGAAGATAAATAGTACATATATACTTAGGTTATGCATTAAATGTTTCTCTATTATAGACAAGGAGACAAAAATAGGCTTTAGGTAGGTAGGAGTTCGGTAAGTCCAAGAAGTTTCTTTTCACTATACAGCCTTCACTCAAGGGGAAAAAAAAAGCCTCTTAGTATATCTATGGGTTTGTATTTTTTTTCTTCTTGGAAGTTTAGGCGTACTCCACCACCCAGGGACCTGCTCAAAATCCCCTTTTTCCAAGCATTTATCCATGGGAGAAGGGGCTTTTAGTTTTCATTTAATGTCATTTCACTGATTTTCTGACAAGCACCTATTAATTTTGTATAAAATATGATTTAACTGGTAGTAGGATTATAGGCACTCCCCGTTCTGTATGCTTTCTTATAATTAAAAATGTTTTTAAAAAAAATTGAAAAAGCTGTTGCAGGCTTTCTCTGTTGTTTAGTAAACATCACCAGGGGCATGATCTGCAGAGGCCAATTCTCTCCTAAGGTTTATTTAACTCAGATCGTACCTTTTCTGGAAAATTTTTGAATGCAGCTTTATTGGTTTAAGATGTAATGTCTTTTGCCCTGTAATTCACCCATGTGTCATCTCCTCAAGTTCTAGGTCTGGGCTTTTCACAAATTATCGTGCTTCTTAAGGGCACGATTTCCTGGGCCTGGACTGTCCACTAAGAGAGGAGTCCATAAAGTGCTTTGTTCTCTTAGTTAAGGTGGCAGAAGGGAGTAGCATGCAGAAGCGGCATACAGAGGTGATCACCTTCACAAGGTGAAGACTCAAACACAAAGCCGTGCTTCAAATCAGTTGGGGAGAAACTTTCTACAAGTAATCTATCAGAGCTCTCCAAAGCCTTATTACTGTTTCATTTAAGTGATCCCTGATTTTACAAAGTTGTTGAAGTTAATTTGGAGAATCAAATAACAGGCCAATTTATACGCATGGATGACAAAACAGAGGTGGACATATCATTGAGTTAATTTTGTTTCTATGTCTTCCAGTTCTGTCATGTGTTCTAGCTCTTACAACTTTTGTACATTCTTCCTTCACCTGACATTTAAAAAACGAACGTTATTTTGCCTTCATGTTTCCAATTAATTGCTCTTTTAAAGACACATTTCTGACTTTTCTTCTTTTCTGGCTTATTCACCAAGTGGACTGAAGGTAATGATAAGAGAAGCCAACAGGGAAGAGATAGACTGTTCCTTCTTCCTCCTCAGCCTGCTGGTCTCCCTCTACTTCTTGGCAGGTTTTTTTTTTTTTTTTTTTTAAGATGTTATTTATTCATGACACAGAGAGAGGAAGAGACACAGGTGGGGGGAGCAGCAGGCTCCCTGTGGGGAGCCTGATGTGGGATCCCGACCTGAGCCAGAGGCAGAGGCTCAACCACTGAGCCACCCAGGTGTCCCCTCTTGGCAGATTTTTAACTCAAGGAGTAGCTGGCAAAGAAATGTTTGCAGTCACAGACCCAGTGTCATAAGCAAGTGTATAGAAGGGTGTGTTTGGAACTGAGAAAGATTTAGTAACTGGTACACATTCATACTTCCTTTATAGAAAATTTTAAAAATTGATTCATATGGAATTTTGTTTTTATGCACTGATTAATAACCGTTCTAAAACCACTTTTCAGGGATCCCTGGGTGGCGCAGCGGTTTGGCGCCTGCCTTTGGCCCAGGGCGTGATCCTGGAGACCCGGGATCGAATCCCACATCGGGCTCCCGGTGCATGGAGCCTGCTTCTCCCTCTGCCTGTGTCTCTGCCTCTCTCTCTCTCATTCTATGTGACTATCATAAATTAAAAAAAAAAAACAAAAAAAAAAAAACAAAAAAAAAAAACCACTTTTCACTCACTAGCTTCTTTTTTCTGTATCTGAAATATGAAATGTATAGACAGTTTTATGTTACAAATCCAACCAAGTATTTAAACACCCATGGCGAGCACTAGATTAGACCCTGAGAGATTTAGGATATTGAGTGTCTACTATGTACAATGAATTAAGTACAGAAATGAGAAGATAGAGGTCTCTTCTCATGAATTGTGGAAAAAAAAAAGACTGATTTTTTTGAACAACACTGTTTCTGGTAATAAGCTTAGATTGAGAACATTCCCCTTAGCATACATTTCTGTGGCATTTACCAGTTATGAAATGTAAATTATTCCTTATCTGCTACAGGATAATACATCAAGGGAAGATTTATTACCTTTTCCTTCCATCATGAAAAATGATTCTTCTAATTTTATCCAATGGCATTAAACTGTTAACAGTTATTTCTGCAACTTAACAGATAATGTTAAAATCAAATTACCCAGAGTGCATGAACTAACCTTTAAGATGTTAAAAAAATGTATTTAATAGCCTAATGTAAGTAATGTTTAAAAATATATTCTGGAGTAGATTGATTCATTATCACAAGGTGGATTTTCCTATCCTATTTAAATATTAGAGGGGTGGCCTGGGTGGCTCAGTCAGTAAAACATCTGACTCTTGATTTTGGCTCAGGCCTGATCTCAGGGTCGTGAGCCTAAGCCCCATGACGGGCTCTGCACTAGGCATGGCACCTGTTTCTCGAGGTTCTCTCCCTCTCTTTCCTCCTGTTCTTTTTTTTTTTTTTTTAATTTTTTTATTTTTATTTATTTATGATAGTCACAGAGAGAGAGAGAGAGGCAGAGACACAGGCAGAGGGAGAAGCAGGCTCCATGCACCGGGAGCCCGACGTGGGATTCGATCCCGGGTCTCCAGGATCGCGTCCTGGGCCAAAGGCAGGCGCCAAACCGCTGCGCCACCCAGGGATCCCTCTTTCCTCCTGTTCTTAAAAAAAGAAGAGATTATTTTTTTTTTCAAGTTTCAGATATTTATTATTCAGTGTAAACCCCAACACAATACATCAACATGACTTCGTGCATTTAGAGGGGAAATATTTCCTGGGTAAGTGGAAAATTGTGCGGATGGCTTCTGGAAGACCTTTATTCTAGGCAGCTTTATGGTGAACATTTCATTTAGAAGTCTGGGCCTTCTTTCTCCAGTTTGCTGTAATCTACATTCACTGAGTAGAACTTGTATTCATCATTGGGACCCAATTTGTTCCAAGGTTCTGGGTTATTCTTCCTATCCCAACTAACATCTGGATTGAACAATGCCAAGCACAACACATACAGTGCTGCTCCAGTGCCTCCTGCCCCAGTAAATATGAAGAGGGGGATCAAGCTCGGATGCTTCTCGGCCTGACGGATGATCTGGCATAACATGGTTGTGGTGAGGTCTCCTGTGCAGAAGGAAAAACCGAGTTGCTGCCAAGGCCTGGAACTAAGTAATGCCTCGAATAGGTTTTTCTTTGTAACATTTCTATCTTTACTACCTTTCTCTTCTTTAATTAAAAAAAAAAAAAAATCACAATCCCAAGCTGAGAAACATGCAAGTTTGTTTTCTGAATAGAATTGAAATGTTAGGGCAGCCCAGATGGCTCAGTGGTTTAGCGCCACCTTTGGCCCGAGGTGTGATCCTGGAGACCCAGGATCCAGTCCTGCCTTGGGCTCCCTGCATGGAGCCTGATTCTCCCTCTGCCTATGTCCCTGCCTCTCTCTCTCTCCCTGTGCCTCTCATGAATAAATAAATAAAATCTTAAAAAAAAAAAAATAAATGTTAGCTGGAAATTAGAGCCTGAGTCATCTTCATTTGAATATATATTTTATTTAGAATGCAGCACTAACAGCATGATAAACTGTCACAAATTTATACCAAGAAGCACATAATCTTTCAAACATGTTGTTTTTCACAAGGAATTTAAGTATAGCATTATTGTCATTTGGTACTAGAGTCAAAGATGACATTTAGATTCTTCAGCTTTGGAGCCTTTAGTAACATCAAAATGATGGGCTAGTCAGGCAGAAGAAAGAAACTCAAAGGCAGTTTCTTTTTCTTCCGCCAGTTCCTTTGCAGTTAGATCCATCTTCTCACGGGAGAAATCATTAATAGTGAGACCTTCAACAATCTTCCAGGTTTTATTCTGTTTGAAAAGAATTGCAAATTAAAAAAAAAACAACAATGAAACTGGGCCTGATCTTATAGCAAGAGACAACGCAGACTGAACTTAAAGCTAGTGGAGTATCTGTTTTTATTTTTATTTTTATTTTTTGGAGTATCTGTTTTTAAAGGCTGATTCTGGAGAAGCAAATCAAAGCCTGGGTCTGAACGAACAAATGATTCTGATAAAGGTTCAACACTTGAATTTAAAACTCACTGAATCTAGAAAAAGAAATCTTTAAACGAGGACTTAATTAGCAAATGTTAAAAAAAAAGACTTTAGTATGGTTCTAATAAAAGTTAAGATATTATTGGTAGATGTCCTATAGCAGAGGCATAATGACACAGGGCGTGTAGTGACAAGAGGTGAATCGTGCTTTCCAGATTAATTTCCATCTTTTAGTAACCTGAAGTTGTGTTTCGTACAATCTTAAAGTTGAGGAAAACGTCTAATTTAGTAAAGGAACAACTTTCTAGACTGAATTATGCCAGTATTAATAAAAATATACAACTATTTTCTCAGAATGGGACAGAGGGAAGTAACTCCAAAGTACCCTACCTTGATTGTAACAGGGAATGAGTACAGCAGATCATCAGGAACACCGTAGGGGTTGCCATCGGAGATAATGCCCATGGACACAAATTCTCCCTGAAAATAATAAACATTTTACATCCTCATGGTGCTTAGGGATTAGTTCACGCAACTGAACGACACACGAATTAACAAAACGAAACCAGGCGATGCTTTCTTAGTGTGTGCATAACTTCAATATTGTATAAGGAAGCATCACCAGGCACTTTCATGGGTATTATTTCATTCCACTCTTCCAATCCATGTGTGAAGTAGGCCAGAGAAAATAATCCTCATTTTGTAAATGAGGAAGCTATGGCTCAATATAAGTTTTAAGAAAAAAAAGTCACGCCCATCAGGTGGGCTAGGTGTTTTCCAGTATGATCTCATACAACCCTGTGAGGTAAATGCCATGTAAAACTATAACCAAATAGTTGAGAATGGTTAAGTAATTTTCCCAAGATTATTCAGCTTGTAGGCAGCTGATCTGGGCTATAGATCTAACCTGCCTGACTGTAAGGTTATGTTCTTTTCACATCACAACATCAGAGGCCTGTGCAAATCATGGAGTCCTCACCTCTGGGGTTCCAAACCAGATGTCTCTGACATGGTCACAGATGGCTTTTGCAGCAGACATTGCGCTGGACAGCTTTCGAGCCTTGATGACAGCGGCGCCACGCTGCTGCACGGTCTGGGTGGGGGCAGGCAGAGACAGCATTACTTGATCATGAGAACAGAATTTTCATCACTTCCAAGCTAATCCTGGGGTGAAAGACTGCAACCACAGTTTTAATGTCTTCCCATCCAAAATCCTAACAACTACCCAGCGTGGGCCTTACCAACCTATTCCAGTTATAGCTCCAATCTTTTTGAGAAAAAAAAAAAAACCTACAAATCCATGCAGAAAGTTTACCACACTCCCCACAAATAAATGGATCTCTTTATGAAGATTAACTGGATGATGAGAAGGAACTTTAGTTTTTTCCTCCCACAATCTTGACTGCCGCATAACAGATCAGAGCAGACTGGATCAGGACTGGCTTTGTATGTAGTCATCAGAGCAACTGTGAAAGGTCTGTTCTCCTTGAGAACCACGCCACCAAATGGACAATCAGGTCAGCAATGTGGAGTGTCTCTCAAGAGTTCTTTATGCTTGGCTGTTAAGAGGGGTTTTTCTTACTGTGATGAACTCTCCCTTGAGCCAGCTTTCATCTTTCAGAGCATCATAAACACCAACTTCCTTTCCTTGCAGTTTCACCTTGGCATGGCTGACATCTGGATACTGAGTTGAGGAATGGTTTCCCCAGATAATGACATTCTTTACATCATCAGAAGTCACACCAAGTTTAAGAGCAATCTAGTTAAATAGGAAACAAATAGATAACTTAGAAAAATACTTTTTATTTCAAATTGTGCCTGTCTGACAAACATCCTTAAGATAAAAACCCTCTGAAACTTCAAGAGAACACACAAGAGTTCTATTGATTTGTAAAAATAAAAAAAAGGTTATTGCCTGGTGATTTCCTAAAGCTTAACAGAGTTTATGATTAACTAACAGTATAGTGGGTTCATCAAACCTAAAACATCAAGAAAGAGGTTAATATGGATTGAATATATAAATGTGACCTTTGTTTTGTTGTTAATACTTGGAGACTCTGTAGCACTTCTGAACAGTAAGGTTAGAATATGGGGATTTCTCCATATTTAGGTGAAATTTTTATTATATACCAATATATAAATTAGCACTGCATCAAAGTTCTATGTAACAAAGGGAACAAACCCTGACAATTTTTTTTTTTAAGATTTTATTTATTTATTCATGAGATGCACAGTGAGAGGCAGAGACATAGGTAGAGGGAGAAGCAGGCTCCCTACAGGGAGCCCAAGTGGGACTTGATCCCTTGATGGGGGATCATGAACTGAGCCAAAGGTAGACGCCCAACCGCTGAGCCACCCAGGTACCCCCATACTCTGATAATTAAAAAAAAAAAAAAAACCCTCAATAAGGATAGCTCCAAATTGGAAACAATGCCGAAGTCCTTCAAGAATGGTTAAACTGTGGTACCTCCATAAAATGAAATAAATAAATAGGAGAAAGTGGAGAAACAATAAAAAGGAATAAACTTGGATGGGTACTGAAGGCATTAAACAGTGAAAAAAGCCAGGCTCAAAAGGTCACATACTCACTACATGATTCTATTTTTGTGACGTTCTCAAAATGACAAAATTCATTGAGATGAAGAATAGATACACGATTGTCAGGGCTTAGCAATGGAGAGGAAGCATGTAACTATAATGAGGCAGGCTCTCTTACGGGTGATGGGACAATTCTGTAGCTCGACCTTGGTGATCATAGTAATCTATATATGTGATTAAAGAAATACAAAAAAATGAATGTAAAAACTGCAGAGATCTGAGTGGGTCTAGTAACAGTGCTGTGTGTAGTTTAGTCAATTTCCTAGTTTTGAAAATGCTCTAGAGTTAGGAAGATGCTACACCTGGGGGAAATGAGTGATGGGGATGTGGGATTTTCAGTAATGTTTTTGTAACTTCATCGGAGTCTATAATTACTCTAAAATAAAAAGTTAAAACCAAAGCAAGGAACCAACCAAACAAAAAGGATACTGATGAAAAAGGCCAATACCTAAAATGTCTGTAATGACTTGAGTCATCTCTACACTGATTTATTCAGTCAAGTAAGAATCAAATGGTGTTTACTTTCACTAGGACTCTCCTTATTTTTTAGATTTTATTTCTTTGAGAAACTCACGCATATGCGTGAGTTGGGGATGGGTGCGTGTGCAGAGTGTGAAGGGACAAGCAGACTCCCTGCTGAGCAGGGAGCCCAACAACGGGGCTTGATCCCAGGATCTTGAGATCATGACCTGAGCTGAAGACAGTGCTTAACCAAATGAGTTCCCCAGGTGCCCCACACTATGACTCTTTAAGTTGAGACTAGTTTCTTAAATACTAGAACAGTTACATGATTTTTAAAAATTTACTTAAAATTCTGTTTTTGATATTTAAAATCACTCATTTAAATCCTGCTTTATCTGGAGTTCTGGAAGTATTTGGAATATTAAGTACTAATCAGTCTTCACAGAGTAGTTGGATAGTTGGTTTCCAGAGAATCCAGCTACTGATCTCCTTGGTGGTTGAGCACAGCACCTTGGTGGTGTGCTGTGCAATGGGTATCCTTTTCTGTGTGTGCCATGACCTTCAAGGACTCAACAAGAACTGCCCTTACTTCTACTTAGCTGGTATCTGACATAAAGGAACATTTACCTGAGGCAAGTAACCCAAGGGGGGTCTTTTTTTTTTTTTAACTTAAATTCAATCTGCCAACCTATACCAAGATGTCTATTATCAAGAACTTAGAACACATCACTGCTGAATGTCAGCCCCAACTGCTGCACTCCAAAGTATGGTGAAGACAGACTGCCTCTGGGCCTCTATTCCATACAGGAAGCTCCTTTACTTCCTTTGTCCAGCTGCCTACTTCCTCTTTTCTTTAGCCAATCCACTTCTGTCTGGACAGCAAAGCCCAATACTTTGCAGATGTGGTTTCTGAATTTCATTCCTGTCAGAGCAAATCTAAATTAACACATATCCTGGACTGCACCTCCTTGTTCCCTTAGACCTTTCTTGTTGTCATGTAGATCTGTTCAACAGTTTTGTACTAAATCTCCAGCTCTAGTAATTTTCTGTGTCCCCCCCCCCCACTGCATACCAGCTAAATAGTTTTACTGCCCAAATACCCTGTCAACACACATATGCAGCTCTGGTTTACAAATACACAGGGCAGTTCTGTAGGTGATTAATAGTCATTAGGTAGCTAGGTCCTTTGATTTACAAAATAAATTCTGTTAAGACTAGCAACATTCATGTAAGAAATTAGTCTTTGA